AGCTCTGAAGGACATTAGAACTAGAACACATCTGCAAAGAGATAGAGAGCAAAAATAGATTCCTAATTTTGTTTCAAGATAGTCTATAGAGATTTGCAGTACAGCTGGATGACTCTGAAATGCAGGATCAAATACCTATTAAAATAAAATAAATCAATGGAAGTCCATAAATAAACTTTCTCAAGTCAAGGTCTTAGCTTACATCTGTCACCTGTTTAGGACAGTGTCCCAACCTATCAGAATAAAGCTGCCATTTTCTAATTACAGATGAGCTTGTAGCAGTGGGACTTCCGTTATACAATCTTGAGCAAAGAGAATAGCAGAAATGTCAAAGGAATCTTACTGAAGCAAGAAAGCATTGTTTGTCTGCTTCACTCAACAATTTGCATCTACATTCAGATGCAAGATTATATACACCAGGTTGTATACTTATTTCAAGAAATGCTAGTTGCTCTGATTTCCTTAGGGAAATCTAAAGACAGAAAAGTTTATCTTCTTTCACGTTGTAGCTGGAAGAAATAAGACTCATTGCAAATACACATTCTTTGTTCACTGAGATCTTATAATGACAGCTGCAGAATTCAACCCATCTGCATATTTTTGCAGAATGCATAGGGTGGTTGAGGTTTTTTGTTAAGTCTTTTTTCCCACATTCTATTTCAGACTGCCATATTATTCTGTTCCTCTGAATGCAGAGAAATAGGAATGGGCTTGTTTCTTATGAGATTAATGAGGCATTGTCCTGGCTGCACATTGCCACTGAGTAAAGAATATTTGCCAGCTCATAGTTGGTGGACACCAGGTATGTCCTTTCAAGACAGTAAAGCTGCAAAGCGCTAGTCTATCTAAACACTCTATTCAGAGAGTATCATGGATCATTCCTGACTACTGCACACAGCTATGAAAAAAACTCCTTTACAAATGAAACTTTACTTCTGCTTTTGACCTCCTATCTTCATCTGTCCTCTGCTACTTAGAACACTTTGTCTGTTCTCCTTTCTTTCAAAAGTCATTGGCAAATGCCAGAGGTAAGCAATTATTATCAATTGCAGCTAACATCACAGCAGCCTAATACCAAAGAGCTTACAGGTTTGCTCTGAGAACCCAATACAAATGTCATATGTAGAGAACACAAAGATACAGGATCAGAGTCTCATCTGTTCTGCAACATAGTGTATGAAATATAAATAGATTGAAATGTCTCTTTGATACTGCTCATTTCTCATTCACTCAAGCAGATTCTTTAGGAAATCTCATCCCTTATTACATTATTGAACAACAGCACTTTTCATAAAGCAATACCATACACAAACATCCTGCTGTGACTAATACTACATAAAATTCTGCTCCTTCAGTGCAGGTGGGTTGAGCTAGTAGCTCTTCCTGCCCTGCTCCTTCCCAGTCCATTTTAGGATCCCAGTGGTGCTCCGTATGTCCTGCAGTATCCCCAATGTCTTTCTCCAAATCTCTCATCCCAGTAACAGCATCCTTCCCCACCTTGTAACTGCCACATCCTTTCCTCTTTCTTCTGCTTTTAGGAAGCAGAAGATATGCTGCTGATGCATAGGAAATTTGTCTTTCCAGTCCTTGCAGGTCTAAAGACTACCACCAGCCTATCATTAGGACCAAGTACACTACAGGAGATAACAGCCAGTGGGGGTCCAAATTGTTCTTGGTTAAACCAGGCATGTCCATGTGGTCCATGTATTTATAATGCCATAGGTATATTCAAGGACATCTTAAGGGCATGATTTCAGAGCATGAGGCAACAGGAATACAGTTCAGCCAGAGCATCTAGAGACCCAAATGACACTTACAGCGTCTTTACTACTGTCTATGGTCAATACTTAACATCCCAGACTTTCTCTCACACTATCTCTACCAGAGGAAAGGGTGAGGTCAGTGAAACGTGCTACTCACTCAGAGATACACAGCGATGTTCTGCTCAATGGAGCCATGTTTGATCTCATATATGTAGGTTATAGCTTGAGTATCTGCCATTCCAGCACAATAACATCCCTAGCAATCTTCAAGCTTGGTTTATTCCAGTTCCTTTTCCTTTATCTACTCCAAGCCTCACTTCATCAGATTATTGCATATAGACTGCTGAAATATGCAAGGGACACAACATCCTAGCTTTTACTTTTTGCTTTCACTTTAGTGCTCCATTAATAGCTCTTCGTTGCTTTTAAGCTCACCACAAACCTGTTTCAACTGCCTGCACACCTTGTCTAACTCCTGTCCACCCCAGTTCCCTAAGTTCGTTTAGCATTTGCCTCTGTATTGGTCTAGTGCTGAGGCTGGCCATATATCAGGAGGTGAGGGCAAATTAAGAGAATTAAATACACTATTCAGTGAACAGTGCAACAGAGTACACTACCCACACAATCAAATAGCCACCATCAGTCCATCTTAAACACCTATGCGGCCAGACTTCAGTTTCTCCATGTATTATCACAATTCCTATTTCCAAACAGAAGAAGAAGTTACTTAAACCAAACACTGCACAAGACAATGCAGTAGTGATGTTGACAGTGACATCACACATGAGCAAGACAACTTCCTTCATGAGTTGCTGTCACATCTGTGGTAATACCTTCTGGAGACATTAAATTACAGGAATTCAGTTCAAAAAGCAATCCTAGCTACTAATAGGAACAAAGCCAGATGCTAAGTGGTGGCCTGGGAGATATAGAAAGGAGTGTAAGGACTTGATCCTGCCATGACTCTTAAACTCAGCGTGTGTCATAAGAGACACAAGGCTGTGAATGCTTAGTAGCTTTCCCTTTACAACCTAGATGGTAAATCCTATCACATCCCAGCTGCAGCAAAACACTTCTCTTAGAAAGCAATAGAGAAGAGACAACCTCAGGGATATTTAATGAAAACACAGATATTTTGGGAAGAGATTGTTTTCATTTTGGCAGAACACTGTTGGAAACATCGCTGAAATAAGAAAAGGATGAAGAGATGTAGCAACCATACACTTTAAAAACAGCTTTGGTTTGATATTCAGTAAGTTTTTTTCATTCAAGCATCTATTTTGCTACCTATGTTATCCAGAAAAACAGAAGCTAGCCAAAACCAAACACCCTGACCTTCATCTCAAAAGCACTGTTTCAAACACTAGTCAAACAAAACCAGCAATCTGCGGAAAGACTAAGAACAAAGCTACACAATAAGGCTTTGCTCCCAGAAACAGAAGCTCCTACCATCATTCATTTCCCTCCAAACAGATAGACTCAACAGAAGGACTCACAAGAGCTCCAAAATCTCACTAGTATTTAATGAGAGTAAGTATGTACTGATGCACATTGTGGAAAGTTACTCTACACTAAACAAAAAGTGAATTCCATGCAACTGTATTTCAACCCTCTATAGTTATTCAGAATTAAAGTAGCTGCAACCAGCTCTAACATAACTCAATCTTGAGGAAAATAATAGTAAAATAGAGGCCATGGTGAATAGCTACAGTACACAAAGGTAAAGGCAGGCAGAGTGAAATGCTGGTACCAAATCAGATCAAGCTTACCAGTTCTTCCATGCAAGGAGTTCCTCAATGAATTTGGATTCCCTTGCGTTACTTGATCCATTAATTACAGTCATTACATTGTGCACTGAAGGACATCAGATTCTGAATATTGTGCAGTATGTGTTAGGAGGAGCAGTACCCACAAACATTTGCATCTCGCTAAAGGGATGCCCATGTAGAGTTGGCTGAGTACATTCACTGTAGCTGCAGCACTGATGGCTCATCAAGGGTGACCGCCCTTGCGAAAAGGAGTAATGAGCCCCAAAAAAGCGATACAAGATAAAAGGCTGAAACTCTTCCAGTACAGGGGACTGACCACCTGATCCTGACACATAAGAAGACACCGCTCATAGCTCAGGTGTAATCAGCAAGGACTTTAACCAAAAGAACCACAAAAAAGGTCACTAATTTTGCACATATAGGCTATACCATTAGACTCAGCACCTTGTGGACTCCTGCTGCACTGGCATTGAAGCTGTAATCTAGCATCTATATCTAGGCTGACAAGACATTTCCTTCACAAAGTGGGTATTTATAAGACTGTTAAAATAGCCAAGGACTTTCAGCCTCAGATTCTGACTTCAGCCTTCCCAGTGCAAATTTCCATTCAGAAAATTGCCTTAATTTCAATTTATGCTATTTGTTTTAGTTTCACCCACCTGCTGCACAAATAGCCTTATTAGCCTAGACTGACAAGTCCTGATTTTTACTAGTTATAAATCAGCAGAAACAACCGACCGAGGCATGGGTCTGGAAAGAGTCCTCTATTGAGGCTTGAAATCTCACAGTCACTCAAAGATTTTTACAGGGGGAATTTTTCCTGGGGACTGCGTGCCTTGACTCATTCTCTAGTTCCCAGGAGAGCAAATTGAATGTGAAGAGCAGTGAGGAACAGCGTTTTACAAAGGAGTCACCAGGCTCACCAAACTAAACCAGCTTCACTTCACTCTGAGGTTTACTGACCCACAGAGTGAAGTTCTGGGCTTGAACAGCAAGATCACCTCACTTCCTGGTCATCAGCTGAACAGGACCCAAAATATACACTCACACCAGCTACAGCAGGCACTCACTACTTGTAAAGGCCAGCTTTGAGTGACATCAAATTATATTTTGATAAAATAGACCAGGGATGTGGCTCAAGTGTGTTAAATCATGGACAGCTGGCACCTTATTAATCCTTGCTTTCACAGCAGTCTCCTTGTGCTGGCACCTTTGCTTCCAGACATCTCAGTCTTTTGAGAGTTAATGACTAGTAAAACCAGCATTGCCAAATCTGAAGGACTTCATTACCAATTTAAGCAAAAATCAACCTCTTTGCAGTGTTTCCTGCTAACATCAATCCTTTTGCATCTCATCCATGTCAGGTGGGCAACTTCTGTTGACATACAGGAGACAGTAACATGCATTGGAATAGCACCAGCACCTTAAGACAGCAAACACTGCAACAGCATAGTGGCTTAATACTCACACTCAGCAGGAGGCACTTGTTTTCTTTGATGGCGCCTATGCAGCCCACAAAGCCAATGATCATGACAAATGTCCCTGTGATGATCAGTAGGTTGGCAGCTGACAGGGATGGGAAAGAAGATGAGAGGGTGGCAAAGTTCCCTTGGGTAACAGCCAGCCAGATGCCTACTCCAAGGATTCCACAGCCTCCCAACTGGGAAAATAAAGAGAAACAAAGAAACTCAGTTATTATACCCAGGCAACCCTAGATATGAAATCACATAAATATGGCAGCAGTAGAACAGCTCTGCTGTGGTAACCCAGCAGTCACATCTAATAAGAAATTACATTACCTTATGGCACTTTCAGTAGGGAAAACACAGGAGAAAAAGAGAAAAAAGGAGAAAAATAAAACATTACAGAGGTGGAACTTATCAGTAAGAAGTAACACTGGAGAAAAAGGCTCATATTTCCTAAATCCAAGACACAACTTCACATATCAGGTCTTTTCCTCTCCAGTTGAAAATGGAGACAGCGAGTAAAAGAGAAACTCCCAGAGATTCAGATCTCAAAAGGATTGAAAAAAAAATCCATATCCCATTTAGTTACCTCAGAGAGCTGCCCAGAATGGCTGAAGCACTTTTGATCCCTTGTTCTTCCTGTCCCAATACACCATCACCCATCCCTGGCATATACCATAAACAAATCTCGCCAAAGCATCCCCTGGTAGGACACCTCACACCTCTTCCTAGTTCCTGTCCAAGGTCTAGCCTCTCTTGGAAGCAAGAGAGCATTTAGAGTGTAAAAGGGCCACAGAAGGAGGGAGAATCCTCCTGTAACAGTAAAAAAACCAGAAAACCAAACAGATATTTACACCTAATGTGGCCACTGGCTTGATAATTCAATCCTCAGAAGAGAACTTGGCTGGTTTAGGAAAGGTTTGAGAGGGGAACAGTAGTACAGGCTCCCAAGGCACATGAGTAAAGAGAAGTGATGATGTCGGTGCAGTCAGCAGCCACCATAAAACCCATAAAATTTACAATTATATACACAAGGAACTTTTAAAAAACACAAACATTTATAAGCATGCTGCTTATAATTGCGAGAAAGCCTGCAGAATTGTAACAATCTGAGTAAAGCTGAGCAATTAAATAGAATTAAACCAAAGGGGATTTTGCATTATTATACAGTCACACAGTTGAGCGTCACTTAGGTTTTCTTTCTTTCCTGCTCTCCCTTTAAAATAAGCAATTTTTACTGAGTTTAATAATAGCACTTTATTATCGAAATCAATTAAAGGCTAGGAAAGAAATTATGTTCATAGAGTAGTAAGCCAGACATAGGAGCATATCAATTAACTGTCTGCATAAAGTGGATGAACATAAGGCAGCTCATGAACCAGAGAAGGAAAAAGACAGAGCTAATCCTGGGGCAGAGCTAAGCCTCAGAAATGAAGCACAGAAGAGAAACACAAAAGCCAAAGCAATTTCTTATACCAATTGTTGCCTCTGCACACTGCTGAATTCCCCCTCAATAAGGGACAAAAAAAGGCAGCTGTGTCTCAAGGCAGGACTCCTTGCCCCAGTCCCAAACCATTCAATTTTGTTCAGAACTAAGGAGTCAAACTATACCTCATTGTGACATACCTCAGCTGCATCAACCTGCCTGTCTCCACTTAGAGAAGGCAGACTCCAGGACACAGGGATTCAAATCATCTCATTCAGCAGCCTTTCCATATACAGGTGTCCCATATCATCACACCAACCCCTTCACAAAGTACCCTCTACAAGCACCACGGAAGGACAGTCCATGCCTTGACCATATACAATGAAAATATCTCCCTTCTATGCCCACTTACAGACCATGGTCTAAAATGACTGAAGAATATCCAGGGGAGAGGAGGGGGAAGAATACTTAAAGGAGGTAACCCATAGAAAATCATTTAGGGTAACTGAGCAGATATAAACAAAAGCTATCAACATGGCTGGGGGGGATGGGGGGAGAAAGAAAAAAAATTACAAATAAATTCACTAAAACAGAAATAAAACTCTGAAAGTCTACTGGACTACAAAAGAGCATCAAAAGAGGGGTGGCAGACACTCAATTTAAACCAGAACTGGTCTGAGTGTTGAAATATAGTCAGGAATAGCACTAAACTGGCCACAGAATGGGATGGAAAGAACTACTGCCCTTCTGCCTCTACAGCCTGGTGGACATTTTGCCCTAATGTCAGCCTCAGAGCCACAGGAATAGTGAGGCCACAGAAATGGTCCAGTCCAGCCTAAGGCCCAGCAGCAGCAGAGGCATCACCGTGCCATACGTTCAGCTATTATCTTCTTTTCTGCCCAAATAAGCAGCAGCTTATTTCATCACCCTTTGTTTGGTACACTGCTTTGAATGATACTGACACAACTATCACTTGTATTTTAGGAGGTGGGTCTTTCTCAAGATGCTCCTGTGTTTGGTAAAGACCTGCTTGCCTGCTCCTCCATCACCTATTAAATTCTTTATGATGTACAATGCATAATGCTTGAGACATCATTGCACGAGGACATGTGATTTCAGCGTCTTCTCCCTCCAAAGTCATTCTTGTCTGCAAAAACCCAGAATTCACAACTGGCACAAAACATCGGAAAACCAGGAGACAGTTCATGCAAAATGCCACACTGGCTGTACCCATTTAGATCATGGCTGAATATTTCAGGTCATTTGTTCAGCAGGAGTAGCTTATTACATTATCCTTGATTCAGAGATACTCTAATATACATCAGGCTTTCTAGCAGCTCAGTATCTTCCTATTTTTGAAACTTCCTTAGTGTCCTGGTTTGAGCTAAATAGAACTAATTTTCTATTTAGTGATTTTACTTTTCAGCTCAGTCTCTTTTAAGTGACTGAACTTGCTGAAAACTAGCAGCATGTTTACCCCAAACAGCGCTGCTAGAAGATATGCTCAAGGTCAGTTGTCTCATCATGAGTGCTATGTCTGCGCCTACGGGGGGGGCGAAGCGGACCCAAAACGGACCAACGACGTATTCCATCCCACATACGTCATACTCAGTATAAAAACCGAGGGATCACAAGGGTCTTGTTCCCTTTTCACCCTTCTTCCGTCTTGGAGCCCTTCCATCTCGGACCCTTCCATCCGTCTCGATCCTGCAGAGGCCAAGGCCTGTGCGGAACTCTGCTGGTTCATCTGCCTCTGATCCTGATTTGTGTGTCCTGCATCCTGCTCCCACTGCTGCTGAGTCTGGTCTGGGACTTTTCCAGTGCCCTGCTCTGCAGAGCCTCTGGTGACTTATTTATTCGTCATCGGGGGAGGATTTTATATTGGTTTTGTATATATTTGTACATATTTGTGTGTATTTCATTATTTTGCTATTTACAATATTATCCTGTAGTATTAGCATTATTGTTTCATTAAATCTGTTAGTTTATTTTCCAACCCATAAAGTCTCTCTCCCTTATTCTCTTTTCTCTTCCCTTCTGGGGAGGGGAGAGGGGTTAATAGAGAGTGTCGGTCCAGGATTTAGTGGCCGGCCCAGCCCTAAACCGCGACACTTAGGTTGATTAAGCAAACTCTGAATGGACAAAGGGATCTTTTGAGCATTAAACCATCCGGCTCAGACTGGATTTCACAAAGTGCTGCTTAGGTTACTGATGGCTGTTCCACCTTGGTTCAGCCCGGTTTCTTTTCTCACACCAGAACGTCCCCTCATGGTCCTTCATTAAAGCCAATAAGCTGTATCACCAAGCCCTGGGAAATGGAGGCTGCCTTTCACTCTAGTCTAAACTGCTCTTAAAGGCTCTCTTTCCTTCAAGAAGTGAAACACACCTGTAAGCCTCTGTTCAATGACCATAATAACACTCAAGCATCTGGTTAAGAAAATGTCCCAGCTTGAGCTAAACAGAACTAATTCTCTATTTAGTGATTTTACTTTTTCAGTTAAATCTCTTCCAAGTGACTACTTTCTGAAACTAACGGCATGTTTTTCCAGTGTCCACTCCTACAAGCGATAGTCCCTGATATTTATAGTTACTATTAGGAATGGTATATAAATATGGCTGTTGCTTATACTTGCACTTATAGAGACCAAGGCCCACATCATGTGTGCTGTATTGGGGTACTGTAAGTGAGGTGTTGCACCTGCGAGGAGGAGCAGACAGAACAGACGACCCAAAACTGACCAGCAAGGTATTCCATCCTACATACGTCATACTTGGTATAAAGCTGAGGGATCACAAGGATCAAGCTCTCTTCTCTTGTCCTTGTCATCTTCACTTCTTCTGGCATGGCTGGTGTTTGAACAGAACCCTGCTGGTTCGTCTGCCTTCAATCCCAATCCCTGTGTTCCTGCATCCTGCTCCCACTGCTGCTGAGTCCGGTCTGGGACTTTTCCAGTGCCCTGCTCTGCAGAGCCTCTGGTGACGTCATCACGATTGGAGGTGGGGAGAACGATTTGATACTGGTGTTGTATCTATTTGTATATTTTTCATTATTCTCCTATTTACATTATTATCCTTTCGTGTTATCGTTATTGTTTCATTAAACCAGTTTTAGTCTTATTTTCCAACCTGTAAGTCTCTCTCCCTTATTCTCTTTCTCTTCCCCCTCTGGGGAGGGGAGAAGGGTTAATAGAGAGTGTCTGTCTCTCAATTAGTGGCCAGACAAGACCTAAACAACATCAGCACCTAAACCAAAGGCCCACCAAGACAGCCACAGGAGCCTTTCCAGTGACAGCAGAATGTTCCATTTCCAAACATTGAAAAAGCTTGCTCTCCCCCTGCCCATCAGCAGTGCTCCCCCCCACCAACAGCATAGTTTCCAATCTAAGATCCAGGGATCAGAGGGATCACTTTTATTTATTCTGGACTAGAGTGAAGAGAAAACTGTTACAGTTGGTTCCATGCTGCCTGTCTGTTTTGACTGCTTCCTCTTGGTATCTGAGGAGCTGTTAAATTACAGATAATCCTATTTAGTTATTTATGATGTTCCCTTTCCTCCACTTTTTCTCTCTCTACCCTGTCCCCAACCCCCAGTTTTTGTTTGTGCCAAACAGTCTGAAGCAGAATGAGATGATAAGTCTTGAAAGCTTTCAGGGCTTGCCAAGATGTGAAATTGAAGAAAAATGAAACCATTAACAGGGCTACTCTTGACAATTTCAGGCCTTCCATGCAAATAGTGAAGCTGTCATGGTTAAAAGAGAAAACATTAAA